TAGCCTGGCCTCCGGTTTCTCAAGTAGCCTCCCATAGGTTTGGTTCGTGGGCCTACCATGTAAGATAGGAACTCCCAGGTAGTAGCCCAAGTCCTCCACCATGCTGAAGCCCAACATATTGGATAAATCACTTTTAAATGCACATAAATATAACATATGCGAAACATTTGTTCAATTAAAAAATATAATATTTTAATCAAAACAAACGCTAATCTACAAACAATAAAAGCAAGCGCAGCAATCACCACCAGGAGATAAACCACTCAAAATTTTCCGGGGAAATCACTTGCCAACATTATATAATCATTACATTTACTTGAAATTCCCAAAAAAAAAAAGAAAAAAAAAAAAGAAAAAAGAAGAACAATACACAACAAATACAGTAGCCTTCATATACTCAAATGCTCCTCCCTCGGCAAGCTCTGCACGGTATCCGACCATCTTCCAGGCGAAAGTGAATGAGAATGATCACTGCTATTGTTTGAGGATAGGTGGGCCTCGGCGCGGGCGTCCCTAATCATCCTGAGGACCTCCCTCATTGTGGGGCGGGCCTCAGGCCCAACCGAAAGGCAAGCCATAGCAATATTGAGGAGTGCAGTAAGTTTGTCGCTGGTGGACGCGAGGTCATCCCCCGACTCGGTCTCCTCCCGGATGGCCCGGACCCATGTGGGGATGTCGGAGCCATGCTCCTGAACCAGGTCACGGTATGGGGTTTTGCCCGTCAGGAGCTCCAGCAGGAGGACCCCATAGCTGTAGACGTCCGCCTGTTGGGTCATGGGCCGCCTAGCATCGCGGCACTCGGGGGCCCGGTAGAAGAGCGACGAGGCTCCCGACTCCTCGTGTGCCTCTGGATTGCGGAACGTGGAGAGTCCATAGTCCGTCAGGCACGACTCGAAATCAGGGCCGAGGAGGACATTGGTGGACTTGAGGTTGCCGTGGCTCAGACCCGGGTTCAGGTGGATGTACACGAGCCCAGCAGCTAGGTCCTCCGCTATCTTCAGGCAAGATGTCCAGTGGAGGGGCTTTGACCCGCCTGCGCCTCTTGACCCTGCAAATCAATTTTGTTTTTCATTAGTACTAACCACGATTCATGGAATTTTGGATTCAAAATTCGATCTACCACCAAAGTCCGAAAACACGTCACTACTGCTAGAAAAGGACATATTCATCACAGAGACGGTAAAGGCTAAAAACTTCATATCTACCTAATAATAACGACATCCAAAAAACATGCATAGGAAACACATTGAACAACCAAATAACGGCATATTCACCACACCACAAACAGAGAAAACGACAAAAACTGTATGCAACCAAGATTTGATGCAGCACGTACCATGTATAAGTGAGAAAAGACTACCGTTTGGGAAATAATCGTATACGAGCAGACGCTCCTCCTTCGCCTGGAAATAGGCCCTGAGCGGGACCAGATTCGGATGCCTCAGCCGGCCCACGATCTCGATGTGCCTCCTAAACTCCTCCATAGTAGGGTACCTGGCGTCCTTAAGCCTTTTCACTGTCAAAATGTATCCCGACTCCATGACCGCTTTATAAGTGCTCCCCATGATCCCACGTCCCAAGGTCTCAGCTGAGGCCTTCAACAAGTCCTCCAGCCCGTAACTCATCCTCTGATCCCCCGGCCCGAGGAACACCAGGCTCCCTAGTCCCTCGGCCCCTTGGTCCCACGAAAACCCCCCTCGCATACTCCCGTTACTACTGCTTTTATTGTTATTGTTGTCATCCCTAATAACACTAGCAACACCACTCGTCCCTCCTTCTTCTAGCCCCCGAGTAACCCCTTTACTTCTTGTTTCGCTTTGTCTACTCGTCTTTCTCAAGCATCCAGCCAAGAAGGATGTCATGCCACACAACACGACAAACCCAACAACAGACGGCACAATAATCCAGATGAGTTTCTTGTTCGGCCCGCGATGGTGGCGCATATATGATGGGCTCGCTGAGGGGCTGAAAAAGTCGCATGGTCGACGAATTTGTCTGCCGCATAAGTCAAGGTTACCAACGAATGAGGATTCATTGAACTTGGTCAGTGCTTGAGTTGTCGGGATATTTCCCAAGAGCCGATTATCGGATACATTAAGGAATCTCAAGCTGCTCTGATTAAAAGGAGGTATAAGTCCCGTCAACTGATTGTCTTGCAAATAGAGAACGTACAGTCGATTCAAACCGACAAAGGGCAGAGGAATTGGGCCTGTAATCCTGTTACTGGACAGGACAATGACTTTGAGACGGTGGAGATGAGAGAGAGTGACCGGGATTCGGCCTGAAAACATATTGTTATTGAGAAAAAGTGATTTTAGATTGGCAAGACCCGAGAGTTGAGGGATTTGGCCAATAAGGGAGTTTTGTTTAAAGCTTAAGACCCTTAGCTGATCCAACTGGTTGAGGCTTCTGCCATCTAATTTGCCACTAAGGTTAAATCTCTCAACCACAAGCTTTGTTACCCTGCCATTCAGGCATTCTCTAACGCCTTGCCAATGGCAGACATTGATTCCCTGAATCCCCCATTGAAGCACACCTAAAGGATCTATTGAGGGTCTCAAAGCCAAGAGAGACTCAGCATCACCAGATTTTACTGGCGGCAATGCGGCTAATACCAACAACAATGACAATAACAAGAATGAGGGAAATGAGATATACCTGGAAAGCAATGCACCATCCATCGGTGAATTATTCAATCAGAAGAATGTCTAAAAATGAAATCTTGATTTGGTCCCATTATGATAAAGAGACAGTCAGTCTTCTATTATATCCTTTACTTTGAACAAGGAAAATTCTCCTCATCATCAAACGTACTAAAAACCTAATTGAGAGAATCTTGAACAATGAAGGTTTTGAAATTAGGCAAAAATGGGTTCAGATCTAGCAGCAGCATCAACACAGGGGAAAGGGCATGACATAAGATTACTGTGACAAATGGGCCCCAAAATGAAGTGTAAAGTAAGGCGCCAGTTAATGTCACTATCGAAACACTTGTTAAGTTTGACCCCAT